CTCCATCATTGAACTCGGCACATATTTGGCATTTAGAGTGTGACGGATTTACACATTTGCTACCAAATGAGCTGCAAGAGCTAATCAGCTCACGCAGAATTGCTCTTATTAATGAAGAAGGCTCTTCTGCATGCCTGCAATGTAGACACCCACTTAAGCGGGGCATCAGAGACTCATTTGAAAAGATTTTGTTCGTATAGGAGCTTTTTTCCTGTGATGAATGCTTGAAAGGAATCGTGTTGTAAAGAGGGAGGGAGCAGTATCTGCCACATGTGACTAACTGGTGCTCATTACTGAGTGATTCAAGAGCAGTAAGAAGGATAAATTATCAGTGTCCGAAAGCTAATGAGAATAATTAGCACTGTAATGCTTTCTGAGACAGGGCATGAGGTGCAGTCCAGTGCCAGCTCAAGTTATGGCAAATAAGCTTTTTTAATACATTGGCTAAACATGGTCCTGTGAAAAAAATATGCAGCCATGCTTCCCCTTTTGATAAAGGAATTTGAGAATAGGTTTCAAGATTAGTGAAAAAATAATCAATTTTTTGGTTTATTTGTGACTCAATTTTCCTAAGTACATCACTTGTGAATTTTCAAAAGGAACATACAGAGTTCCAATCAAAAATTTGATCACATCTCTTTACCATACTTTTAAAAGTCCTCTCTTACCGGAGAGAAATATCCCTCACTTTACAGTCACACCTTATTCATGTCATCACTTTTTGGCAGTACATACATTTGTGAACAACTGATTTTGAGAACAAAGCACGGGAAGAGTAAAATTTCATCAAAAATCTCTGATGAACGCCTGAGAGCTCATTGAGAACTGTAACTACTGCCACTGAACAAGCCTGATGCTTTAGTTACACAAAAACAAGTTCACAAATACTACTAATTTTACATTTTCTGCGTAAAAAAAAATTGCAACCATTGACATCTATTGATGCTTGCTGAAAATTTTTGGAGACTGAACAGTGGACATGAGCACACAGAGGTGGTGGGTGATGTGTTTCAGCAGTGGTGACAGCAGCAGTGGGTCTCCTCTGCTGGTGCAGATTGTTATGAGCACAGCATGCAGGCTCTTGTTCATCACTGGTGAAAATGCAGAGCTGATGGTGGTCACTACATGGAAAAAATAGTGTTTTGTAGCTGAGAATTTGCTCTATTAAATAATGTTACTGTGCTCTTTGTATCAGTTATAGTTTCCATGGAAACAATTAGGAGGCATTAACTTTGGAGCAACCTTTGTAGATGCGGCTCTAGATACCCAATGTGGACCAGGCAAACCAGAAGGTTGGGCACCCATGGGCTAGCATTAGGGCAATGAATCCCTTTCTAGAAACACCCACGTACTCTCTTTTCTCAGACAGTAAATAAAAGCAGGATGCACAGAGAAAACACAGCATCTTCTCATAACAAGCCACAAAAAATAGTAACAGGGAGTTTAGATTTCCAGTCAGTTCTGTACACAACTGCCTCAGCCCTGCACCCACAACTGCCCCCAGGGCTGCACCCCTGGGGATCAACTCTGCTGCTTCCAGCAAAGCACCAAGCATTCACTGATACTGAGCTGCCAAAGGCAAAGGAATGCCAGCGTTTGGCCCCAATGCTCAGCACCTGCTGATAAATCTCATTTTTCCCATTTCCAGAATGCACTCCTGCAGATCCCAGTGTAACATTACAGACCCAATCACACTGAAGTAAGCCTATTAAATTAAAATGAGATGCACGTGGACAACAGTCCCTGCTCCACTGAGCATCATTCTGAGCAAATGGCTTGCTTCACAGTTTGTAAAATGCAGTTGGCAGGGGTTGAGTATTATTCTAGGAAATCCATAAAAGCAACATTTCTTTCTCTTAACATAACACTATAAAGAATACGGAGAGCAATTTTGCTTTTTGTTTTTAAAAGGAAAACAGACTTACAGACTGAGTCACTCAGTCCTGACTTTTCCCCTGAAAAGCAGTGAACTTTTTAAAAAAGTAAAACCATCCAGGAAGCAATCCCATCTGAAAGGAGGCTCCCTCAGAAGCACTCACTTAGAGCTTACTCATACAGGAGTTGCATCTCCTTTTTTACTCCCAAATTAAATACTGTAAGAACATACAGTATTTATGTTTAATCTCTCTTTTTTTATAAAAACATCATTATCAATCCATCTTACTGGATGGCTGCTAAGAGACATTTAAGCCAGCAAAATGTGTGAGCCTAATTTGGGCTGAGTGGGAGTTTAGGAAATTCCCAAGGCTTTTACACAATGCAATTTTACACAAATGCATCTGGTTATGAGGGCATTAGGGGTCAACGGGACTATCAGATCCAGAATGCAATTCAACAGGAGGGAGAAGGAGGAAATGAAGATCTGCTAAGTTGCTTTTCTTTGAGTCATAGAATCATTAAGGTTGGAAAAGACCAGTAAGATCATTCAGTCCAACCACCAACCCATCCTCACCGTGCCTTCTATGTTCCTCAGTGCCACATCTCCACGGTTCTTGAAAACCTTCACCACTTCCCTGGGCATCTGTTCTTCATTCCGATCAAAAAGGAAGTCTGTTCTAGTCCCATCTGGAGGAGTTGCTCTAGTTTAAAGAAATAAGGATATTTATTGGGTCAGAGATGGATGGACAACTCCTTAGAAGAAGAGACCAAACCATTACTGGGGTTGCAGTGGGCAACAATACAACCATGTGCCCAGACTTGGGACTCCGACCTGACTTGCACACGTCTATGTATTCATACATTTTAGATTTGTCTCACTCCCTTTCCACTCCCTTGAGGGATGAAAGTAATCCAATGTCTCAGGATCTTTCATTAGATAGAAAACCACTTCCCATGCAGCTGCTACCAGTCTGCATAAATATTTGCTCCTGCTGCCTATAATTTCTTGGTCTAACAACAGGACTAGCCAGACCAGTGGGCTATTGTATCTTGTCCAAACCAGTGCTGAGGAATGAAGCCATGCACACCCCTTGTTCCACATCTCTGCTGGTGTACAGGTTTTACTCTTCTTCAACAAGATTCAATCTGTTTAGGATTAACTGTGTAGCAGATGTCAGGTATCTTAGAAGGGCTGAAAGACCAAACTCATCTGGAACAGAACACTCTGATTCACTCCAAACCATTTGTTATCAGCAAGTTTCTTGCTGATAAATGATTCATGATTTGAAACATCAGATTACCCATTTTGAATCATGGCAGAAATTCCTATGTGATTACAAATGCTGAGGTCATGCATCTCCCAGGACTGGCTGGTAAGTCTGAGCATGTTGGACCAGTTGGTCATTTCACACAAAATAAGAGCTCTTACATATTAGGTACTTCTGATTCACAGTTCATGTAAAAATAATCAATTTCAACTTAATTCGACCGACACAAATATCAACAAACTGGCTCCATTAGCAAATACAAATACTAACTTTTGCTTTACTGGAGACATCAGAAATTACAACACTGTAACTGACTATAAACCTGGTTTTACCAATTGAACGATCTTGGAAGTAAAGCTCCTAGCTCATGGCACACTGTGGCTCACAGTAACTAAGGCTAACGTCAGCCACTTGATGTAACTGTTTGTGGTGTTCAAAAATGGATTTTTCAAAAAAATAAAAATATAAAAAAATTCAGGCTGTAAACCAGATGAATCGCAACCTCATAACAGAAGGTAGATTATTCTCAAATATTTTATGTTTGTGCATTAACACATGATTTGCCAAGAAAAAAAAAATGAAAGCCCAAGGCCAAGAAGTAACTCACAAAAGACCGAAGGGAAAAACGAGAATCCTTAATTTAAATTTTATTATGGTGTAACCAGCTGTAAGGAATTACGGGTCTGAAGCACAGTGTGCAATTGTCCTATCCTAAACATTTACTAAAGCCTGCAATTCAGAACGATGCTGACAAGTGATGTCACCATTGGCAAGCAATGATTTATTTTCTTCCCTTCAAAAGAAGTCCACATTTCTCAGCAATTAGCACAAACACAGGCACTGCCTACAAGAAGTTCTGGAGACTATTTGCCTTCTTTAGTGCCAGCTGCTTCGACTCTGAGATCAAAAACATCGCAGGAAGTTCTGCACTACTGTTCTCAGTTGTCTGCTGGTAGGCAAAAAAATTCTTGTTTCAAATCCAATGGCATCAGTACGTATTACTTGTTAAGTGCAGGGTGGAACACATGCTGCCAAGCACGAGGCTGGCTTGGAGAAAACTGTCATGACTTTATGCAAAAGCACAGAATGCAACATGAAGCATCTTGCTAACAGGAAAGAAAACAAACAGTAAGACTCTTAATAAACTAAGCTTCTTTCACCCTAGGATATTAGCTATGACCGGACAGCTGACTAAGTGAAGAGACTGAAGGTGCCTAAAAAGGGAAAATACTTGGCACAGCTCCACCAGTTTTAAATTTAAGTCACAGTTAACAAGCTGGCTACCATACAAGGCCATCAGGCTACTGGTATTCTAGATTACTCACTACTGGCTGCAGCAGGCTGCAGCAGCCTAGCGAGTGCCAACCACACAGGGCCATTCACTGGGTGAGAGAAAGGACAAAAACAGATCCAGAAAGGAGGTGAATTGCCATGAACCTCCTGGGCAGCACAGTGATGTGCTGTCCATTAAAACATTCGAAACAGAAAATGAAACAGGCAGACTGAGGAGCAAAAGGAAGGTGACAGAGCCGAGGCGTGTTGCTTCATTGCGAAAAGCTGTTTGGTCTGCTGCTGAGTGTGAAGGTGGATGGATGCAGGTCCTGGCACAGCCAGACACTACGCCATCCCCAGCACAGAGCGGGCATCCATCCTGCAGATGCCTGCTCCACCACTGCCTGGGGTTGTTCTCTTGGACAGCCCAACACGGAGGAATCCAAACAAGGCTGATCAACAATAAAAGTAACTTTCTTTTTTCAGATTTATTTGTAGTGAACCACAACTTCCTTCCTTTCTTGCTCCCCTCCTGTGAAAGCCATAAGTACCTCCAGAAAACGTCTTTTTTTTTCCCAAAAAAAAAAAAAAAAAAAATAGGTGTTAACAAGTCAACTGCTGCTAATCCAGCTTTTACAGGGATGGCTTTGTCTAACAGATTGTGTATGCAACTCCTTCAAGAGCAGAAAGAAACTCTCCAACATACAAATGTGGATAAACTTTGGGAATGTAAACATTAATGTATATAATTACTGCATTATCAGAAGTAGTATGCATTTATCAAAACATTTAAATGTAACATTTTCAGCAAACGTTTCAGATGGCCCATTCAAAACTTGAAGGAAGGCTGTGTACCCTAGAAGGGTAACTGCACATCCCATAAGATCATTACTCATACCATAACGTACAGAGGCATTTGTCAATACTGATGTCAAAAAGGAGGGCTTAGTTTAATTTCACCCATGCTTTGTAGATTTTTGATACGAGTCAATTAAATCAATACATTCTATAGAGGTATGTAAACAGTCCTGGTAGAGAGAATGAAAGGAAATCAACAGATCTGGATTGGCCAATGATAATGTCTTAACTCAAACACCGTATCTATCCCTGAGCACCTTAATATTGTTTCCCCAGATTTCACCGAAGAACATGTATGTATTTCAAAAGAACGTAAAACTGCATTTGGATAATTTGTCTTTCAAGTCCACTTTCCTTCACTGCTGCTTTTTGTTTTTCTTTTTAAAGTGTCATCTCCTCCCTCCCCCCTCATTGCTGTTTTGTTAAACATGTACTGCAATACCCTTAAAAAAAACCACCTTATCAAACACCTACAGACACACTATAGACTACAAAAATATTGCATAGGAGTGTCAGTGGGCATACTCTCGCAACATGAGAGAAAATGCTAAGTTTTTCTTTAAAACATTATGGCAACATTCTAATTTTTTTTTCCTTTTAAAAATCAAGTGGTTTCACTTTATTTCAAAATTGTACAAAATGGCCATGGCTGTTTATAAAAAAAAGTCTCTGTCTTGAGAACGTGTGAAGTCTCAGGTGCATTAACAAAAGACCTGGAACCATTCACAGTGCAGCGGAAAGCTTCTTTTGAGGCAGACATTACAATTCATCCTTCTTCTTTCCTACTCTCTCATGGTCTCTTTCTCTAAGGGTTCGCATGAAAGTGGTGAATCCGGCTTCCTGTTTTAGAAGAAAAAAATATATGGGTCATATATATATATATATATATTAACAAATCCACAACCAGAACTGCATGCCAAGAACACTTTTAGCTTCTGTGTCCAACAGCCAATGGAAGCTGGCACGTTATCTACTAAGGAATCTTTATTGCTTCTGCGTTGCTCCATCATGCAGTACTCTGGCCCTGTGCTGCTCTGCTAAAAGGCAAGGAGAAAATCCAAAGAGATTCCACAGTTCACCATTTTCCACAAGAAATTGTGAAGAGATGGTGCACAGAAAGACCCTAGCAGTCACAGAAGGTTGAAAACTGCCCCCAGAAATGCCACATATGCTTTTTGCTGAAACTGCTCAAAGAACTGTCCTACCTTACTTGTAAGCTATTTTTGCCATTCTGAAATCTGTTTGTGGATTGTTTGTTGCCTATACACATATTTGTCACCACTCCTCGTCCCATAATAGTTTTGCTAATGACGTCTCTCCTCCTCCACTATCCAGATGAAGGGAATTGTAGTTTTTCAAAATATTATGAAAATTACAGTCAAAATTTTGAATCTGGATGCTTAGACATCAACCTTTGTATTTCAACAACTGTGTCAAGACTGTTTTTCTAAAGCTGTCGAGTGCCTTCTTTTGGAAGGTACAAGGTAGTTGGCCAAGGTGGTTCAAAAGGTGCCATCGTGCTCATGAGAAGCTCCTTACAGAACAGTGCTTTGTTACTGAAACAGATGTGTGAACAGAGCTGGAAGCTCCACAGAAGGCACTGCACAAAGCACTGCTACCACTGGAGATAATAAAACCTAATTGATGCTGTAGAAGCAGAAGACCATGGGGCTGAGAGGTGGAAAGGGAACACAGCTGTCAGCAGCAGAGAACGTGATGTTCTTGTTTGGTAATTCAATTTTAGCCAATAAATATTTGGCTGCATGCAGAGTATTAGTCAGTCTATTTTCTGGCACTGGGATAATCATCTCCCAACTGCTGTGGTCTCAGAGCACTCCTGTCTTCCTAAATTCTTCTTATCAGCAACCTCCTTTCACCTATCATTTCTGTAAGCAGGGGTTAGAAATATGAAGATTGCGGCTGAAATTGTACCTAATTGTTGGTTACTGCACCCAACTTTACTTTACAGACTGGAAGGAGCAGTCCTTGAGAGCAGCCCTGCAGAGAAGGATCTGGGGGTCTTGATGGATGAAAAGCTTAACATGAGCCAGCAGTGTGCTCCTGCAGCTCGGAAAGTAAATGGTATCCTGGGCTCCATCAGAAGAGGGGTGGCCAGCAGGGACAGAGAGGTGATTGTCCCTCTCTACTCTGCTCTTGTGAGGCCCCATCTGGAGTACTGTGTCCAGATCTGGAGCCCCCAGTACAAGAAAGACAGAGCTGTTGGAGAGGGTCGAGAGGAGAGCCGCAAAGACGATCAGGGGACTGGAGCACCTCCCCTGGGAAGACAGCTGGAGAAAAGAAGGCTGCGGTGTGATCTAATTGGAGCCTTTCAGTACCTAAAGGGAGCCTATAAACAGGAGGGAAATCAACTCTTTGAAAGGGTAGATAGCAGCAGGACAAGGGGAAATGGTTTTAGGCTGAGGGAGGGAAGATTTAGGTTGGATGTCAGAGGGAAGTTCTTTACAGAGAGAGTGGTGAGGTGCTGGAACAGGCTGCCCAGAGGGGTTGTGGATGCCCCGTCCTTGGACGTGTTCAAGGCCAGGTTGGATGGGGTCCTGGGCAACCTGGTCTGGTATCAAATGTGGAGGTTGGTGGCCCTCCATGTGGCAGGGGGGTTAAAGATTCATGATCCTTGAGATCCCTTCCAACCCTGGCCATTCTGTGATTCTGCAATTTAAGAAAAGATCCCCAATGTGAACTTAACACAGTATCCACAAAAAGGCCTGGATCAGCTCCTCAAACTGGCAATTACTGTGGTCCCAATGCTGGAGAAAACAGGGAAGCCAAGCTCCATGAAGGCTTCCCTAAGATCCTGACTGAGACAGAACCTCAGATCTGGCTTTTTTTCCATCATGCTCCTCTATAATTTGGCATACTGCAACAGCAGCAATGACTTTCACAAAGGGCTCTTTTAGTAAAATGACTGGATAGCCTGAAGACCAGAGGGTCTCTTCTTGCAGACCTTAGCTTCTCTCAGCAATCAATCACTGCTGAGAAGTAACCTCTCTCCACATCCTTATGACAACACACAAATAACCACATTAGTTCCTTATTTTCAGGCATTTTACAGAACACATTATTCCATTTCTGCTCACTGTATTCATAGCGTATAATTAGATGGCCACAGCAGGACAAAAGGATGAAACTTCAGTCCACTGGCTAGATGGCACAGTTGGACTATCCATCCTGAGCTACACGATTGAGTCTGACCCAGTGAGAATGAGACATTTAGGTTCCTCTGGTCTCCAAAGGACAGCTCTGTCCCTGCTGTGAAACCAATGGTCTGTTTGGCAGCCTGGTAGAACTGAAGCATGTTTACAGTATATGCATGAACTGGCTCCAGAAGTGACAGGAGCAAGATCTGTATCTTCTGGCATTTCTGCACCTAGCAGCAGCCCTTGTAATACATCTCCACTTTCTCTCAATGCAAACTGACTTCGGATTTCAGCTTAAAAAATTAAATATGTAACAAAGCATTACCAAATCTTCTTTTTCCTCTCCTCATATTCCTAAAATAAACCAAATATTTTTGTAATGCAGAAATGCACAGTGGTGCGGTATGCAGTGATTCATCTGTGAGTGTCAGTAACAGAAGCAGTTATACATTCTTTCAGTATGATAAAAAATTTACCACGCAGCATTTATTCTTTTGCAAGGCAGGCAGAGAACTTCCTCCCTTTATCTGGTAATGATTCGCTTTTACTCACCCCTCTCTCTCCAGTATATTTTTCCACAAATTTCCCATAGTTGTAATAGTTGAAGGTGGGGTAGCCATCAACTCCCTCCTGCTTGCACAGGTCATGATTCTGATCTTTGGCACAGTCCACCGCAGCGTAGGCGATCTGCAATGCAAGAGATCAGCATGAGGCAGCAGAATACCAAGCAAGACTCCACAGTCAGGATGCTGCTGCAGCTTATACATACTATTGGGAGAGACTCATGTCTTCTGCCAAGAGCACAGCAGAGGAGTGCTGTCCAGGAGTCCTGTCCATTGAGCAGTGCCAGGAGGGAAGCAGGCTGCTTGTGCACAGCTCGCCTGCTTTCATCTGTTGGTTTTTTTTTTTTCCCATGTCTTCTTTTTTTGTCTATGCTTTAAGGCAGGGGCTGTATGTAGGCACAGTCATTAGCAAAATGGGCTTTAATTCCTTCTGAAGCCTCTAGATGCTACTGTCACACAAACAACTGAGCAGGATGCAGCCTGCCTGCTCAACAGGGAATACGAGGAAGTGCAGCCCCCGAGCACCAGCTCAAGCTAACTCCAGTTTGGAGCATTTGACATTTGGAACCCGAACCTGTGAAGTACTGAGAAAGGGCTGCACTTAACATTTCTCATGTTAAACCAAAACACAGTTCACAGGCTGTAATGCAAAGAAGTAGAGCCCTTTGCTGCCATTTCACACCGACTGCGCGGTGAGCGGCAGCTCTGGCTCTGAGCACTGACTGCTTGCCTTCACAACCCCATGACGTGCTCTGCTGAAGAGTAAGTAGGTTTAAGCACAAGCTGTGTCAAAAAACTACAAACTAGAAGAATAATTTTTGCAGTCATGGGTTATGATGTATCAAGTGCTAATTTCATAGCAGACACATCTTGTCTTCAGGTTTCCACTACAGGTGCCTCCTTCAAACAATGTGACCAAATACCTTGTGCTTGCGTGACTCTGAGGCTGCAGCCGAACTGTTTTTCCATAATTAAAAGATCACTTAATATGCCACAATGCCCTTCAGTCTCACGGTGAAGCTGTCCAAAGACCCCATCTCATTAACCTAACAGCAATTAAAGAGAATGGAAAAGCCAACTTCATTAACCTGCTTGTTTTGTTTTGGCTTTCAAAGCCTGACGAAACAATGCTTAGTAGGCTCACACTGGAGTCTACCTTCAGATGGAAAACATATGTAAGGTATATAATATTCTTACCTTAAATATTTGGTTTGCTTTCCTGTTTAGAACATTTGTAAGGCTATTACACAGACAAGGCTCTTGACAGCTGTTACAAACAGGGATGATCACACTTTTCTTCTTTTTTCCTTATGAACAGAAAGACTTCTATTTCTTCAGAGCCAGTTATACAAAAGGGCAGGAATAATAGACTATGAAGAGGATCATCCAAGTATTAATGTCTTCTTAACCTTAGCAGTCAGCCAAAATTTAGAGCCCTGTTGGCTACCTCTCTGTACAAGAAACCTCACAATGCTGACAAACGTTTATGTGATGTCACAATATTCATTTACAAAAAGTACTCAAGTCCTGGCTCCCTAAAAGCAGGAAGAATAAGTAAGATTGCTTTGCTTTCGCCCTCAACTTCTCTAATACCACATAGGGAGAGATTAGAATCAGAAAGAGGAGAGGGTAAATGTGCAGTCATCCAGATCTTAGTAGTCAAACTGAGACATAGCATTATCACAACTGATGATCCACCTGTTCTCAGACAAAGCCTTGGAGATTAGGAAAACTAGTCCTTAGTATGCTGCCAGCGAGAGAAGCCTTTTATCTGCACCTCCTTGGAATCATCTAGGCTGGCTTTGGCTGGAGCAAAGAACCCCATTACTTTACAAAAGGCTTTTGTGAAAATAGATCTCAGCAAGGAGAAGGTATGGTAAAGGAATGCAGCGCACTAAGCATTCATTGTTAATAGCGTTACTTGATGCCTCTAATCAGATGACTGAAGGGCTATAATCATAGTATCACAGAATCACAAAACCACTAAGGTTAGCAGAGATCATCCAGTCCAACCCCAACCCATCCCCACTAACACAAGTGTCACATCCACAGCCTTCTTGAACACCTCCAGGGACAGTGACTCCACCACCTCTCCAGGCAGCCTGTGTGAAAGCACCACCAAGACGTGTGGTCACGCTGGTCCCTCCAAATCAGGTATTTTGTTTTCCCATGTTTTCAGAAGGAACTGTGAACAGCTCAAACTGTGTCTACCAACAGCAACTGTATTAACTGCATGCATTTACTCCATTCCCCTCCTGAGTTTCGATGTGTAAGTGCCTGAAATACAGCTCTCCTCTACAGCACAAGGTGCTCCACCTGCGCGTTTGTCATGCAATGAAGTAAGGCAAAAAGATTCCAGGATAAACATGACTGCAATGGCCATGCTACCTTAGCAGGCCTAACAGCAAGGGACATGTGCATCTAGAGCAGTATTTTGGAGAACACATTTGTGGACTGTTGTACCCTGAAGCACCCCTAACTCAGGCTCCCACATGGCCCCATGGACTCACTGCCGCTCTACAAACGTCTCTTTGAGCCCAACTCTTCAGAGCATACACTCAGTTGTTCTTAAAGCTGGGGAGAGAAATGGTAATTTTCAGAAGGAACGTGACTCATGCAGACCTGCGCAAAATTTCACAGAGAGATGTCTAATTCCCAAGTCTGCATCCTGGGGCTGGATTTCAAATGCCTGCTGCCAGCAGCAGCTGAGTAAGGGTACTTAGGAAAGCTTGACTGATTACTTTAGAGTGTAAACGTGAAGGCAGCCTAAATATAGAGGCTGCTACCACCTCTGTGCACTCATTACCATAGCATCACACTCCTAATTGCTTTGCCTGCCTCACAGTGGAAGATCAAATATAGTGCACTGCAACAAGAGAAAAATAACACTGGAATATACCTGTAGCAAACCACAGTCTTTGACTGAGGACTGATTCCACTCTCAACTCCATCAACTCCAGACAGCTGAACTCCACAACATATAAGAGTTTCAGCAGACAGAACCAATACCCCTTTGTTTCATTCTGACAATGTTTTTATGCACTATAAATATTCAGCTCAATTTCTGACAGTAGTTTTCAGCTCACCACCATAGGGAAATGTCACAGCAGCCCTCCAAAGGAAGGTCTTTGCTTGAGTCCTGGCTCAAGCGAGCAGCCACAAGTTGCAAGAAGCTTTACTTTCATTCTCAATCTTATCAAAGATCAGCTTTTGTGTCATCACAGAAAGAAAGTGAGTCAGAAAAAACAAGTGCAGAAAAAATTTCCACCAACATTTGGTTCTCAGGTGAGAGACTTTTGGGGAACGCTGCTCTCAGAAACAATGTTCAAATTTAACTATGAGCAGCCAGTCTTCATTTAAGTTCATTGGATAGCATGGGTTAGCAAAACCCGTATGTCTCACCTTGTAAAAACAACTGTATTTAACCAGAAATTTCAGACATTTGACATAAGACATCCCAGATACACACCCAGGAGCCAAGACACTTGGCATCAACCCTCATGAATTATGTGCACATGTATCATCATGAAGAGGAAAAAAATGTGAAAAATCTGTGATCTTCCTCACCAGGAAGAGCTGGGGTAAGGCTCAGATGTGTCTATGAATGTTCATTATGATAAAAAGAATGCAGCATAACAGCTTTCAGAAGACAAGATTGATTTTATGGATTTTACAGAGTTTTTGACCAGGGGAGCTAAAATTTAATTTCTTGAGCATTTCTAACTTTCCTATAACCAGAGGGAGAATTTCACCGGAAAAAAAAAAAAAACAAAAAACAAAACATTTTGAAATATAACAACACTGCTTTACCTGCAGCACACACAAAACTCCATGGGGTTATGAATTCCCCATAAAACCAAAGCTGCACCGCCTTAAATATTGACAACACGTCATCATACAAAAGTTCTCCCTCCAGAGGCAGCGCTGCCCAGGTTTATCACTATCCTGTTCAGTAGCTGTGGTAGGAACAGAATAGTCACTGAATGAGAAGAAAGTCAATCAGAAGACCTCAGTGCCTGAGGAAATTCCCTACAATATGTCCAGTCCTCCTGATGTTATTGGTAATTCCTCACAGCTACTATGCAGCTTATAACAATAATTAATAACACCAGCTTAGTGTGAACAACAATAGTAATATCAGGTTCTGGTATTCTGAATTTCTCCTTTGTTCCATAGCTGGTAAAGTTTATTATGATTCTAGCAACACTTAGAAAATATATTTATCTTAAAAGATAAGTCCTGTGGCAACATTTTATGGTTTTACCAAACAAGCAGAAACTGAATTGTAGTCACAAGTTGAACTCTGCACTGCATTTAAATGTGAGCAATGCACATCCAGCTCGAAAGAGCACTTAAAAAGGGAAATGAGCATAGCACACTGTTCACATGAAGTGCTCTGATCAGGAGTGTCGAGCTGTTGTAAACATCAGAACTTTTCAGTGAGGTGCTTAAGCAGAAGTGGAGTTATGCTAAAAGTGTGACCATTGATCTCCACATGCCTCAAATGTAACAATCATAGAATTGTCAAGGGGCGATGCTCTTCTTGTTGCTTTTCCCTGTGCAAGTATTAGAAGCTGGAAGTAGTATTTGCAGTATCATCTAATCATACACCAGCAGCCACAGTTCCCTTCCAAAAGGATTATGGAAGCAACTTTTTCTTGTAGGGGGATCTTGCAGTTAAGGAACAAAATTACAGCTAGTGGTTCAAGCAGATGTGTTGAAAATTGAAAGTGGGATTCCTTGACCCCCCAGTAACTCCTTTCTATTTTTAAACCCCTTTCATTTTAACTGTTTGTCTCCCAGTTGCTATGCGATGATACAGAATAAACATCCTGCAATCACAGTCTCCCTCCTGCTAAAATATGCGCTGCCATACACTGCTTTATTGATTCAAGGAATAAATCTCTGCTGGAGCTAATATTGACTCTTGTTATGAAAATGGAAGTGAATAACTGAATATTGATTTGAGGAAGGAATGATATATGATAAGCTTAAAAAAATTAAAATAAATCTAAAATTGCAACATGGAGAAGAATGCTACTAAGCAATGGCCTGAAAGTACAGTCAATTCCATAGGACACTTACTTGATTATGAGGAAAAAAAAGTCTGTTGTTGCCAAATGTCTTAAAAGTAGCTGAGAGCAAGACAGATGCACACCCTTCTCTATGATTACTCCACAATTTCTATTTATATTACCTGCTCTGGATCCTAACAGTTACGAACTAGCCTGCTAAAGTTTGTTGAGATTCAGCTATTGCCTTCAATGCAAATGGCCTCGTGCATGGATGATTCATTATTAGATGTCCTGATGTACCACAGCAGCATTACCATGGCTGCAATTCATCAGCTGCTCTCAAAGCAGGCCTATTTGCAAAGGAAAGATTCATTAGAAGTCACCAAAATGTACAGTGCTAACATCACCATTTTTAATGAGCCTAATTAAAAAGAAATTCATCACATTCTTTTTAAGCAAAGGGAGATCAAATTCTTGGCCAAACTCAAATATTTAGCACATTTGGATAACTCTAGACAGTACAGCTGAACAAACTGCTCAGAGAAGCTGTGGGTGCCCCATCCCTAGAGGAGTTTAAGTTTGGGTTGGATGGGTGCTGGGCAGCCAGATCTGGTGGGGGACAAGCAGCCCACAGCAGGGGGTTGGACCTCAAGGATCTTCAAGGTCCCTTCCAACCCAAGCCATTCTGTGGGTCTATACATTGTTTTCATGATTATCATCACATTCAAAATGGGCCCACAAAGCCAGTGCTCACTACATGTGGGAACTCACCAGTCTCACTGTAACTTGCAGATCCCTGCTGGGACACCAGCTCAGCCCAGGAGCTGCAGTCCTTCCAGCAATCTCTGCTGCTGTGGTTTCAATACAAATCCATTTGCAGGGGATCTGGGTCAATGCATTTATACATGAACAGACTTCTCTGGAACTGGAGGAGACTGCCGAAACAGCAGCCTCTTTGGAGGGTTACAGAGATTTGTTACTGAAAGGGCTTGAAGAGTCAATATCTTTCCTTCAGCTAATCCAAACTGGAGCATTACAAATCAATTCCTTCAAGCTGAATGTTCCAATAAGCCAAAAGGCAGAATGCAGATTTTTTAAGATTTAGCTGGTGCCCTTTCAAGAGTCTCCAGAGCAGTTAGTGCACATCTTCCATCTGTTCTGCAAAGCAACAACCCTCACATGTGCATCTTCTGGTTTTGGTCACTGCCAAAACTCCAGCTGTGAAACAGAGGCCAAAGGCTTTCCCCCTAGCAGCTGTACGCAAAGGCCACATCCCCCTAAGGCAAGAATATTCCACATGGCTTTTTTCCTTCTTTTTTTCTTTTTAAATAACTGAAAGCAGCAACATGTTAGGTGCCTCACTGGACCAGCCTGTCCCACATCTGCTCTTCCTGACACTGAATGCCTTCAGGCCAAGAAAGCCATGCAGGCAGCCTGAGCTCTGCAAGAACCCTCCCTGGTTACACCCAGGGCTGTGCTCTTAGGCCAGCACCCAGGATCCCTGCTTCCACCAGCAGTGATGTAGCCACCGAACTGACACATGGAGCCAAAGTTCCAAGCACAGCGTTTCTGAACTCTGACTCCAGCAATGTGGATGATCTAAAAGCACACAGTGCCACACACATCCCTATGGGGGATGCTGCACCAAAATCGCCCTGTTACAGCCAATCCCAAGAGCCAGAGACAGGTTTTAGCAGCTTCGACTTCTGTTCATCTTTAAAATTCCTATGTAAACACGCAAACTCTCCCAGAGGACACCTGTTAAGATACCATTTCCAACCATTCGCAGCTGGAATGTTTTTCATTTTTCTTTGGCTTGTGCAGAATTAAATGTTTAATTAAAGGACCACCCCTGCTGGAAAGAAGATATAGTTTAAATACTACTCCTGTAAAGTAAAAAAATCTCCCTCCGGGGAAAAAAAAGACAAGACAGGAGCCAGAACTACAGACTCAAAAGGAATACACTTAATAATTCTTCTATGTTTCTGGGGGAAAAAGCACTTCTCTTTAAGCATTATTTTTAGAGAAGTTTCAAACCCCACAGAAGCATGAATTAGCGAAACATTTAGGCTCAGCCAGTCTGAAACACGGGGATTTGCCCAGCACGGCTTGCGGGAACAGCTGGGCACCTTTAAGTTTTAAGTAGACTTGTTTTCTTTCCCACAAGGGCAACTACTGGAAGCAAGAAACCTTGTCAGGTTATGGCTGCACACAGTTCAACAGTGTTCCCCAGATAATCAATCCCTGGCACTTTCATTGTCACTAGGGTGGAATAACATCATTTTCCCTAACTGCACACAACTCCTCAAAATTGCACCAGTCCTCATATTCCCTACTGGCCCTCCTGTTCCAACTCATTACATTTTATACTTCTCTACTTCAGCCTTACACTGAAATCAAGAACTGTAACCACCAACCACAGCTTTGCTCTGAGCCCTCTCATAACCTGCGGTCCAAGCCGAAAGCTTCACAAACTTGCATTTACCACCTCTACGTCCAATAACATCCAATATAACGTGCTATGATTCACATCGGTTGCTAATACAACCTGGGGCTTGATAAACAAGCTTCACATTGTGTGGGATATTTGCTTCATCTCCTCTGGGTGAAATTTTAATGAATTTAGGAAGAAACTAGAGGAAGGTGGGAAAACAAGGATACGTTCTTAGCGATCTCAGGAAGAAATAAGAAACCAAAAGGCACTGATTTACAGCAGTAAGAGAAGTGAGAGCTGCATGGCTCTCAATCTTCCATGTGCAACCTGGGCATGAGGATGTAAGTGAGGGACTGCTGATTTGATGCATTCAGTGCTAGAGAAATGATTTCTTTCTTGACAATCTGAGGCTTCTATGAGCTACAGAAAAAAAAACACACAGGGAAGAGAAAAAAGTACCATAAATTCATCCCTTGTGGAAGTAGACAGACTCGTAGGGGTGTAACTGTTTTAAAATTACCTCTTCATTTCCCTACTGAATTGAACCTTTTCCCTGCCATAGCCAAACGCAGAGCCACAGTGGCATTAGAACAGAGATCAGAATGAAATATGGTTCACAGAGATAATAAGCATGTTTCTGAGCAGTTATCTGCTTAAGCCAGTGGCTCAGTTTGTTGTTTTTTTTTTAAATCCCAGACATGCATGCCCTCAGTTGAAATGGCTCAGCTGATGCATGGAAATAATGTGTTGCACTCTGGCCATCAGATGAACCTTCAAGGCAGAAGTATGAAGGCCCTTAAGAAGGGCATAACATCCCAGACTCAAGCCAGCCAACCAACAGGAATGTAATATATTTATGCAAGCAAGGGTTAATTATCTTTTATTAATCTTTCACTGAGAAACGATGTGCCTCGCTTCACAGAAAAAAAGTCTTGCACAAAGGACTGAACAGAAAATAAAACAAATAAAAGAAAACAAATAAAAGAAAACAAAGAAGCTGTTTGAAGTGTAAATCAGCTTGACCCAAAAGATACAGCCCTTGAGAGGCACATACACATCCATTAGCTCAACAGCAATTTTACCTGCAAGCCTACCACCTCATCAGTAAGTAAAGCCTGCAAAGCACAGATGGAAAGTTCTTAAATATCTCCAAAATGATCAACAGCAAATTAGTTACCTTTCGATCTTCTTTAAAGACTTCGGCAGCAGTTGTAAAATGTGGAATGGCATTTTTACAGTGAGGGCACCCTGTTTGACATGAGCAGAAAAGAACAACACAAACGTTAGTTGTAATTAAGACACCATGACAAACTCAAGACATGTAGGTGAATTAGGGGAATAACTGTATTAAAAATAATTCTAGATGAGAGTTCTCCAGCTGTGGGAGGAATAGAGCAGGACTAGGCATCTGCAAACCATGTGTTCCAGCTACATGAACTCAAGCACGTGTTTAAAATCCTGCAAGCAATATAAGCATATACTTACATTAAGTCCCCATTTAGGTACCGGGGGCCAGTCCCCATAGCCAGTCACTTAAGAGCACTGAACCATCACTAGCCACAAACAGACAAACCATTTCCGTGCTCTGTACTTCCTCGTGAGTATTACCACATAGGCTATAACTGCTGTTGCCACAGATACAACTGCATTTAGAGACAGGAATAAAGATAGTTCTGTGGTGAACAGGAGGAGGCTGGAATTTAGAAAGGAAGTTGTTGGAACAAAAACTGTCTTAAAAACCATGAGGAGCGTTTGGATGTGTTTGGGAATTGCCTGTGCTAGAGCCAAGGCACTGCGATCGCAAGGGTGAGGAAGAGTAAGTCCAACAGGCAACACATCCTCACATACAGGGAGGACTCAGTCCTGGGTTAGGATGACTGTTGCTGGCCTTCCTGACTCTCCTCCCACTTATCACAAAATGGGCAACCCCAGAAAGGTTTTACAGACAGCAAGCAAGAACTCCAAAGCTCTGCGGGGGAGCCTGCCCAACACCTGCAGGTACCATACAGTGCTGAACGAAGGGCCACTCTGTCCCTTCCTGTACAGTAAATACACTCAAACATTTCAAAAGAAAACACATACATGAAACAGGAACAGCTCTCTTGATTCAGCATTCAGATTTGAGTGTTCTTATCTCAAACGCGAGGCTTACTGTTTGATAAATCTGAACTGCTCTCAAAATATCAATACACAGGAAAACTTTGAAAAACAAAGTGCCCGCATCTCTGAAACCTCCCTCCCAAGTAGATCCGAAGCAAACTCTCAGGACACTTCCTCTGCTCAGATGCAGGAACAAAAGGAAAGGATTCATTTCCATCAAGCCCACATAACTCTATGAAGGCATAAGAGTTCATCCTGGTATTTTTTCTGGGTAAGAACAGATGAGTTGTTCACAAGTTCCAATTATAGCTTGTGCTACTGCTGTTCGTCTTTGTAAAACACTGGTAAAGAAGTGGATGTGCTAATTTTAATTCAGAACTGAACAAATGCCCTGTTAGGCTCAAAGCTACTTCCTCAAGCAGCACTTGTTCTTTGGGGTGAGAAGAAACAGTATCTGTACATGAACTCTGCACATCCCTTTTCACAAAAGAAAAGCTTCAAGAAAAGCCCTTTGATGTTGACCAAAATACAATTTCATTACTTACACACACTACTTTGAATTTTATTTTTTCTTTAGAATGGGATTTCAAAAGCACTGCAATGACACACAGGTATGAATGCCACTGAGAGTCTGTGCAGTGCCTAATAGCACCAAGAAGTCAAATGGACATTTCCTGGGAAATTGAGCCACTTCTCCAAATCCACCTTACTGATCTCAAACTCTATGCAATATAATGGCAGCCTATCCTGACAGCAGCTGTATTTCAGCTGGAGCCCGTGCGTCCTCCACAGCCTGCCAAATATTAACTTTGTTGAGCAGTTCAGCATCTGTCAGGGAGAAACCAGTCAAGAAAGAAAAGGAGGAGGCTACTGCTCCAGGCTGCCAGCACTGCTCCCATCCCAAAAGTCCATGTCAGCAACCCATCTTCTCTCTCACCATTTGCCTGTTCCATCTGCCTAGCACTGAAAAGCCTTTGGATCAAGTCAGTCTCCTGACACATCTTTGCTTATGTCCTGTACTGTGAGGTGAACTCCACGGTTAGCCTGTTAACACTGCTCTATAGAAATAACTCAGAACTGGCAAAAACATTTAAAAGCAATTGTAGAGGGAAAAAAAAACAATAAGAAAAATCAGACCACTCTAAAACTGGAATGCTTGCTCTAGTCTATATGTTCATACACTGCAGCTTATTGGAAAGCATGGTGCCCAACTGCTATACCTAAACATAATGACTCCAAAATTCTGAAACTTTTCAGGTCTCTATTTCTGCTCATCATCTTCAGCTTGAAATTTAAATTTCACCAAACACCAACTTTCAAATTCTCAATTCTCAAGACATCTCAAGAGAAATGCAAGACTTCACATTATCTTGCTTTATGATTCATCAGCAACACAGTTCCCACTTCGCATTTGCTGGACCTGGAAGCATGGGGCATTTGCTACGGATTTGCATTAAGCTCCTTCTCAAGTTGCAGCAGGTCAGAGCTCTCCACGAGCCACACTCTCCAACAGAATCAGAACAACCTGAATGGGATATTGTGTTCTTGACGGTTCAGAGAAGTGTCAACAGATGCATGTTTGTAAGCCAAAAGAGAGTATCCAATTATCCACGCTGTTACAGTATTTTGGAAATAGTAGGCAAGAGTAAACATGCTATGATGTTATGCTCAAAAGCAGCACATGAAGATCACAGAATCACAAAGGTTAGAAAAGACCATTAAGGTCACCTAGCTCAATCACTGACCCATTCTCACCGTGCCCACTGACCACATCTCTCAGTGCCACATCTCCATGGTTCTTGAACACCTCCAGAGACAGTGACCCCACCACTTTCCTGGACAGCCTGTTGGGTAAACAACTGTCATATAACTCAAAACACCTGGAAAACTAACCTGTACTCCCAACGCTCACTTTCTACTTTTCTGTGGCCTGTTCATCTTCCCAATCTAATACCGACTGACAAGAAGCTTACCTTCAAGCTCCATGCCTCCCCTCCCTTCTCTCTTGGCCCACCATCCTTTCTTTACTGCAGTGTGCTTGCAAAACTAAAACACAGCCATATGGCTTTTGGCAGAGATAACTCCAAGTCCAGTAGGCATTTTGTTAGCCTTGGACATCCATCCATGGAACAGATGTGAACGCTGTGCTGAATTCCCAAGGAGCTTCACAGAGTCACCGAAAAAAGGGGGAAGGAGCGTATCATATGGAATAGCAGAACTTCATCTGTTACAATTTAGAAGGATTGCCAAATGTAGCAAACACTTGGAAGTCACCCAACCCAGTCATTCTATTTAAGGCACACATGCCAAAAAAATAAAAGCAGAGGTTGATGTCTTCATTTTGACAGACGGAAAACTTGTTCTCCCCATTCCCTCTTCACACCCACTATCACACATTTATTTTTAAGTGTTAACACTACCTTCCAGATTTGAAAGTAGAAAGAAAGAAAATGTACTGAGCACTGTACACGGGGGACAGGAAAGCATGTGGACTCCTAGGAAAGGATTTTCCAAATAGGCTGCCACTAAAGGAAAATAAACTGGTGGCATTTGAAGGCATGAGTGAGGTGTCAAGAATCAAAATGTCCTACATCCTTCTCAGGCGTATTTATAGAACATTAAGTTGCCGTGGACTGAAGGTAGGAAGATGAATTTCATTTTAGTGGATCAATCTGGGGCCTTTTGTAGAAGCACATGCTTCCTACAAGGCCAGGAGGTGGATTTTCAATTGAGCATCATTGGAAGTAGCACATCTGGGGCAGAGACCTCTAACACAAATGCAGGTCTTTACTGTGCCCGTTTTCTGTCTTTGTTCCTAACAAATTGTGTTATTAACAAATCTTAACAGGAATAACAACAAATTGGAGCAGTGATTTCCTGTGTGATTTAATAAATCCATAAGAAATCTGCTGCGGAAAAATCCTGACTTTCCCCAGGATCCCAGCATTGGCACTTAAAACCTCTATAACCATTTCCGAAAATGGTGAGCTAACTGCATTTCCTAATGCAGACACACTTGCATCACCTGGCAGGAAAACAAGAAAGCTCAAAATCTAGTGCACACGCAGCAACATGTGTTAAGGCTGCTCTGTGTTCCTGGCCCGTGAATGATACAACTTTGATACAGCTGTGGTCAGATCTTCTCACATCTCCATGCTCAAAATCTCTTCCACACAGCACAGAGGTACCTGTTGTGCCTAACTGCTGCAACCTGCCAACACACCAAGACTGCTTGCTTATGCCATAGGCCCATGAATTCACATAAGAACATCTGCTACGGAGAGGCCCTAAGATCTCCTTGTCTTTGCACTACAACATTAAAAGTCTTACACGAACCCACATCAGACTTTTTTTTACTTTATTATTCATGCCAAAGTTGGTTTGGGCTGGGAAGGTAAATTGCAGTACAGTCACAGGGGGCAAAGATACATAGCTGACCTTGAAAACTAGGTTCCTAACATGGAAAAATACAGTTTTGGTAGGTAAAAATTCAAGAGGAATGGCTGATGAACAGGAGATGAGGGAAAGCAAGGAGGCAAACAGGTTTTTATACAGACTCATGACAACTGAGGGGATGGCAAAATGGTCAGATTAAATCTTCTCTAATCAGCGTGAGGCATTTAAAGGAAAACTCATGTTTTCTGGGGGGAAGAGGGAGAGATGAAGTGATGGAAAATATATGACCCAGCTTATTTTGTGCAGACTGAGTTTACCAACAGCAGGAACAGCTGTGTGGTACAGCATAGCTGGGGCATCTTTAAGGAAAAAAGGAGTGATCTGGGTTTGGTCTGAGGCCACAATGGTGCTGAAGAGGCCAATACAAGCAATATTCATCCTCACAGAAACACAGGTTTGAGAACTCCGAAGAAATAAAGAACAGACTTGAGCTGGATGCTGTTTCCAACACTATGCCACAAAAAAATTGCATATATGATGTAAAACCAAAATATTGCATGGGAAATAGTAGAATTTATTAAGTGCTCATGTTAGCTTGCCAACTACTTTTTTATTTAAAAAAAAAAAAAAAAAAAAAAGCAGACCTGGGAAAACTATATAAAGTAATTTGTCAGCTAAGGTAAGAAACAAGTAAAACTAATATTAAAAAAAAAAGTGCACACCACCCCAGAAATACAAGTAATCAAGCATAC